ATATATATTAAGCTACTGATGACAATCGCGACACGCATGCGACTTTCTTTTGTGTAGGTACGACCTCTTCCATGCCCATCTGCTACATAATCCCGAAGCAGATGTTGGAGTCTTGTTATTCCACAGTATGGAATACCCAAAGGTCTCAAAAACATTCCCCTACTCTCTCGGGTATGTCAAAATACCTTTCTGGGTACGTACGCGTTAAGCCCCATGTAAACAGTTATGTCAGTCTACTGGGCAATCGTATGTATAGCGACAGCAAGCTGGTTAGGTAGTGTACATGAAGTTTATGTATTCCGGTACGCGTGTCTGCCTGCTGTTCTCGTTTTCCGTACCATTGGCCAGTAGACATGACGAGAAATGGTCATTGGGCGCGTCTACTCTCATCGCGTATCGTTGGTTTTGAACATTGATATATATTTCTTGATGGTGGACATTTACATAATATACACATAGAAACTTGTAGATACACATTAGTATTAGCAACTGCTTATGTGTGACACACCTTCGAAGCATGCAGCGGCCTCCAGTGTCTATTAAGCGCACTTGATCCATGCATGTGTAGTATGTTTTACAAAACCAGGCTACTGGTATGACACCATGAGGCTTCAACAAACGTGCTTACGGACATGCTACAGGGTACAACTGTTGGCAAACGTAAGCCACAAAAGTATGTGAACGGCTAGTTACCCGTGTCTGTGAACTGCCAGTAGCCGATTAAGTTTGTGAATTGTACTACGATGCAGTTACTGCCAAGCCAACAGCACAGAGAAGTACATAGCTTCGGCCTACCCCTTTCGGAACTTTCTTTGGGTCATCCCCCTCACGCCACCGTCAGACACGGCACATCCCAGTACATACAACACCTACAGAGGGACTGCCAACACCACTGTAGACACTTTCAACACCTCAGTAGGTAGTCCCAACAACTTTGTCGGTACATACAATACCACAGTAGACCACCCAAGTGCGCGTCGTGCACACACTGGAGCGGTCCCCACTCTGTGGTTGTTAGACGGCAGGGAGCCCTCGTTAGTGTGGACGTCTGTACTCAACCCGTACAATCGCGTACTGTACACAGCCGAGGCGGACAGGCTGGGAGTGGCGGTGGCAGATGTGTTTAGTCTGGATGCCTTCCAGACGCCGATGTGGTATAGTTTCACATGACACTTTCCAGCTCTCTTAGTGGGAACAGAACCTCCATAAGACTCGATGTCACGCTTCGAAACCCACTATAATTAGATGTTTCTACGTAATTCGTATAAATCGATACCGTACTGTGCCAATGCCAGTCGTTGTGCAGCGTGGAATCGTAGAAGTTGACTGTCCAGGCCGATGTACTGCGAGTGACGGCCGCAGCGGTGTTCAGTCCAGACACTTTGGCAGACGCCAGTGATATAAGACAGTTGTCAGCTCCAATGCGAACAATACACGCCTCAGATGACTCGATGAAAGGGCTCATAACCCACTATTCGAAGATAAGGGCTGATAGATGTGGAGCGACCGCCGTAGATGTGTTCAGTCTGGATGATTTGCAGACGCCCTTGTAATGTACTTTCCACATGCTACATAGCAACTCGCTTACAAGCAACGTGTGTCGTACATAGCTCGATGACACGACTGAAAACGTCTGTAGTGAGTCAGTTCCGCACTCCTACTATAGGTCGACACGTATTGTGTGGCTGTCAACTGCTGTACGGTGTGGCGATACAACTGTCATTGTCATGGCTGCAGCTGATAGCCTGGGGCTGGCCATAGCTTATGTGCTTATGTTGGATGCCTTGCAAACGTTGTTGTGTCACAGCTTCGCAGGACACGCTCTAGCTGTATTACCATACATGTCCTGCATGTCGCGATCCTCCCATGCGAGAGGCGAGTTACCTACTACAGGTGGAGCACGCTGTACTCGTCCGATACTTTGACACGTACTGTGTGGCAGCCAGTTGTCGTACAGCGCAGAGATGCAAACTCTACAGCCAAGACTAATAGGTTGCGTGTAGCAATCTAGAATCACGTGTGTATCGGTGGATGCTTTACAGACAACGTTGTGATACAGCTTTACACCAGACACTCGCCGGAGCATTCGCAGAATTGAACGATGGTTGGCATGCCACACCTCAGGATCACTCAGGCATCAGCTCGTGATCCGCTTGCAAGTATTTCCTTCGTTGCATCAGGGCTTCCATATAAAGACCCAAATCCATGCCATCCACACACCGCCCGATGCGTGCCTTGAGAGCAATGCTGCCGTCATCCCGTGCCTCGTTTGGTACGGTGTTCTGATGATAGTAGCGAGTATGGCATATATGAATTACCCATACTGCCTGGTCGTTCCTAGCGATAACCGACTACATGTGGGTGGAGGATATCCGGATGGCCTACAAAGTAGGTGTATGCACAGGAAACGGCTAGTGGATAAGCAATCCAAGCTAAGCATTGCCAGTAGCAACCTTATGCCACTCTTCAAACACACCGGACTATGCAGTCCTGAACCCATAAATTGCATTCACATAGTCGGTGGATCGGTATGTTGTGTAGAAAAGATACAGACAAAATAGTGGACAATTGTACCTTCAACTTCAACACTTGCAGCTCGCCAATAAATTGGTAAAGGCTATTCTCTCTGTAGGCTAGGGGTTCCAGCAGCGACGTATCAATGCGCAGTTCCCATCCATTGTGAGCTATTGTCACCCAGTCTCCAATTAGATTGACTGCTATTACCCTGAGTGAGAAAGAACAAGGTTGTTTTATTAGCACTGAAGATTTTTTTCAAATTATAAATAAGTCTGAACGACACGTATGAACGTGTATAAAAGCGAATCAGAATAAAGATTTCTTTTGAAACATGTAATTGAACAACATCTCCGCTAAAATCGAACGATGAAAATTTATCAAAAAAAGCGCTAAATAATTGAAGCATTATACAAACACACGTATACTTGCATATGAAGATGGCAGTATAAATATATACATTCACACACACACACACAGGAGCAGCAACACACATTATATATATATATATATATATATATATATATACACATATATATATATATATATATATATATATATATATATATATATATATATATATATATATATATATGTATATATATAAATATATATATATATATATATATAAAGGGATCTGATCAAATATGATAGTTCATCGTCGTTCATCGTAAAAAAGCGTAAAGTAAGTATGCGGCTATAACAACGTTTACCATATATACAACCATATACAATGATTGGTTGTTAATCCTCAGTTGCTATTATACGCAGAATCATCTTACTACACTCAAGCTTCAAAATTCGGATTGAGTCCATACTTTCCAATGGTACGCACTGAATAGCCGTCCACGTTGTCCGCAAGCTGTCGGATCTCGCTGATCTGTAGGATTTCAGCCGACTTGATTGTTTGCATGGACATATTTGTATATTATGCGATACTAGGATGCGAACACCTTCTTCTTCATCGCTGAGTATACACTGTCCTTGGTTGAATGTAGTAAACGATATCTATACGATATCTATACTTCGCGTTTCTTGCCCACGTCTCTAGACTATTTATTTCTTTATACCTCTGTATTTCATTATTTATGCGAACAATACATCAATTATATCAGAATCAATATTCTGAACGAGATACGAGCGCCAAATTTTGGCTCTAGAGAGCGTATGAGATCGTATATAATTACGACAGTGTCCTCCAACTTCTTTTTAATGTACGTTAGGAATCAGTCTGCAGTCTTCGTCACCAGAGTCACCAGACAATACGCCTTGTGAAACGCATTGTGATTATAGACGGCGCGAATCTCGAGATAAGCGTCTCTCTGAAGCCACTTATCAGTCACAGACATGCCCGAACCTGAAGTTGCAGAATTGCAATGACACAACAGACTTGTGTTGTGCTGATGGGATGAGGCTTGATTTAAATATCATCTGCTTCTGCCTTCTCTTTGATTGCTGGGGTACACTCAGAAGTAACGTTGGATAGCGTGCCACATAATACTCTGGGCACTCCACAGTGAAACACAACTGCCCTGTCCTGGATTAGATTGAGTTTGGGTCCGTAGTCATCGATATCCTTGGTCTCGATCTCCGCGATGTTTGCGAGTTTGTCAATTCTGAATCGCAGAGCGCCGAATTTGCCCGAATAGTCTCTCACCTCGCAGGCGTATGAGTTCGTTTCATATGCTTCAGGGCTGCAAGTGTAGTTGTAACTCTCGCCTGCTACACGCTGAAGCGACTCACAAGCCTCTACCTCCTCAGTATATGGTCCACAGGCAAATGTAGGATCGTAATGACCACCCACTGGGGGTCTACCTACGGTAGCACCGCAGTCGGCACCCACTTCCTGTTCATCTAAAGACTTTCCAACGTGTATGTGCCAGTTCAGTTCAATGTACTCTCCGTTTGTGCAGTTTTCGTAAACATCACTATCGGCGTCGAATAACTTCATGTCCACTTTCCACATGATACTTGCACCTTGGTCTTGAAAGGTGGTGGTCCCTATGGCAGCACTATTATTCACGTGCATGAAGATTTGGTGGTGGGCCTAGGCTGTGGCTATGAATTTCACTGCCGCAGTGATGCTGGTGGGTAATTTCATATTGGTCTTTAGTTTTTAGTATGCGAGGTTTATTGTCTGATTGTCTGCAATGTAAATCAATGGTGCCTATTGCTTTATAGCTGTTCCTCGCATGTATACCGTCGTAGCTGAAGAATTGTACCTTTATCATAGTGTACGCGTTGCCATGTTTATACCTATGTTGTCGTGACGGACAATACTCCACGAAATTGATTTTTCATGATAACACTTTAAGCGTGAAATGAAGTGCAAATATCCTAAGATCTTTTCAACATGACATCTCTTTGTCTCAAGACCTACGTGAACAATACAATTTCCGGTTATGTGTCGTTCAAGTGCCATAGTATTCGAAGGAATACCCCCTGGCTCAGTTGTCACAACATGGTGAAATGCAAACGACTCTTGTCTCAGGAATCAAGATCCCCGCAATAGTAGAAAGATCTGCTGCTAAATTTATATTGGTATGAGCACTGAATTTTGAAATCATCAGAAGCTGCGATCGACATTTGTTCTCGTAAAGGTTCTGAATAAACACTTCAGATGAAGTTACCAGATTTATGCTTATGAACCCGATTTTGTGCACGGTACTTCGAATCGCATGCGTGCGTGCGTGCGCCGTGGCTGTATTTCTCTACAGTAACTCCTCACATCGAATTTGGTTGGAAGATGATTGTTCAAGTTATAACTGAGTTTATGCCTGAGACCAATCGCACCACAGCCAATTGCTGTTACCTCTCATTCACTCATTCAGAACACCTTCCACCAGATCTCATATAGTTCTTCAATGGTGTAACAGTCTGTACTGCAATAGGAGATACCCAGCCCTACACCCGATTGAAACCCTATGTCAACGAAAATGGCTAATTCATTCGCCACCAGCCTTATCACTGTTGCTTGTCGAGACTACCCAAAGCCCATCTTAAGGATACGGAAATAATCTAAAGGTATACTCGACAGACTTATTATTGGCTAACGAAGTTTCTCCCAATGTGCTGAACATTGACAGAAACGCCACCATCTCCACCATAGCCATACTGGATCCAGGACATAGCCTAGCACCTATACCAAACAAACAGCTCGCAACCTTTTTCTCATCAGCCGTTTGCTGGCCTAGGAACCTTTCCGGTCGGGCCTCCTGGGGGTCTGAATATCCCTCGAACGAATGTACGGTTTAGTATAACGTGTTGTACACATTTGCCCCCTCCGGCAGTACAAACGTTTTTCCATCCACCGTGATGGGCATGTCCTTCTTCACCAACCGTGTGCTGAGCGTCGCAGGCACTTGTATACGGAGCGCTTCTCTTTTTGTGGCTTCAGTATATACCAACTCCTTCAATTTGGCAGGCGTTACACGCCCAGACCCCACAGGAGTCTGCCAGGCACATTCACCCAACACACGCGTACTTTCCTCCTTCACCTTCGCCAGTATCTTAGGGTGCTTCAGCACAAAGTGTACCGCGATAGTAAGAGCGGCTGCGGTTGTATCTACAGATGAGAATACTAGTGCGCGGCAATTGGCCACTAGCTCCGCCCGTGTGATCTCACCCTCCCAATGAGCATTGATCAAGGCCAGCATCGCGTCTGTGCGTATACCCGACGTCTCTCTGTCTAGTTCTCTACGGTCTACCTCAGCCGATACAATACCATCAATGGCTCGCTTAGCCTCCATGCCTTTACCGTAGCAGAACATAGCGTGAACTACAGGTATAATACCCTGCACAGCAGCAGAATATGTACCGAACGCATCCAATAGTTTATCGCTTACCATCTGAGGACAATCCGGTCCCCACATGTAGGTGAAGATCACACCGGATATAGCCTCTGTGAGCTCACTGTGTACCTCTGTCGGCTCCTCACGCTGCTGCCATTTTTCAATCTCTGACACGAACACCTTGTGTAATAGGTCTACAAATCTTGTTTGCTAGACAGGTTGGCAACTGATAGGAACAAGCCACACACGCGCTTGTGAAGGTCTCCGTCACTGAATAGCACAGAGTCGTGGCCCCACAGACGGCGTAGATTGTTGTTCCACCCGGCGGTGAGGTGAGATCGGTCCATCTTTGCTATCTACGAGGATGGGAGGGTATGCATGAGCGTAAGACAAATAATCTGAGTGTGTGAGCGCTTGGTATATATCAACAACTGATGTGTGGGAGAGGAATGAAATTACTCAGGATATTAGCCAAGTGTGAGTATATGGTGCTATTATATTTGATTCATTCACGAACAAACAGCCTATCCACTCTATTCCCTTTATTTGAATTGCAGGATAGCGATATCCACAGATCGGAACTTGCACTACTATTAATCGCGACAAACACACTTCGTAGGTCTCGAAAAATGCAATTTGATATATTTTCGCGCAGCCTGCAAAGCGAATACGCTGTATGTATACAGGTTCTCCTGCACTTTTATCTACAGCAACCTCCAAAGTAAACATACTGATAGTTCTAAATATATCTACAGATTTTAGGCTAGAGGACTGCCTTATATTTAAATGTATTCAAGTATATATCTGTATTTAAAGATAAATTTACCTAATCAAAAGTACACTCCGAGCACATAGCGGCTGGTTTACACCCGGTCGCTTTTATAGGGCCTTAAGGAAAGTGAATTCTAAAACAATTCATACTATCAGCCAGTAGACAGCTTCCGGATTACGGCAGTTATAGATGGACACTAATATACATGGTATAAGTTACCTCGTTATAAAAGTGCCAAATGGACGTTTACTTTTAACATATAAATAATTCTGTGTAAAAAGAAGTTCCACAGAGTGTATTCACAAGCACTTGAAATACATATGAGTTGGTATATGGAATTGATATAAGGGTTTCTTGAATTCTAAAGCGACTAGTATGATAATGAGTAGCTAATATAATGTACGAAACAGCTCACCTGGCTGAGACCCTCAACACCCGCGATCAATATATATGTATTTCTCAGTAGATACGTCCTGAAGATGTTTCCATACTTTCCATGCTGTTCACGTATATATCCGTATTGATCATTGAGTGTATGGATTGCATCACCTAGATACGGGACACTAGATATTTGTCCATTAGGTATTCCCGTGGAAGCGGCTGTTATCTCCCTTTCCACTCTCCAATTGTGTAGTATGGTACTGATGGCGTATACCAGTATGAGGATGATTATTAGGAATATAGGTGAGCTCATAGCGGATATATACTTTGAGGCAAACAAGGCTTTTTGCTTTACAGAGGTATGTAAGTGATTACACGCGGCTGGGAGCTATCAACATATGTTTTTGCAGCAGGTGATACCAATTGACCATGAGCACATCAGCTGATACTAATTAAAGCCCAGTACCCACCGGCCACAGGCCCCCTGTAAATATTGAGTGTATGATCCCGCGACATTAGAGGAATGTCAACAATCAACATTGCCAAATATAAAATGACAAGCGTCAAGTCGTCAACTTTGAACTTTGTCCTTTGTCCTAAGTCTTTAATTCTAAATCATTTGTCTTTTGTCTTTGACCTTTGCCTTGAGTCCTTTGTCCTTTGTCCTAAGTCTTTAATTCTAAATCATTTGTCTTTTGTCTTTGACCTTT